AAAATCTATGAAAGTTCGATCATTTCGACTACCGAGGGATAAAATTTTGAAAGAAATATCAGACTCTTGGGCTGGAAACTGGAACAGAAAGGATGACGTTCCCGAGGATTGTTGAAACGTGAAAAATTTATTAATATTATTATTGCAATCTGCGAATCGTTACGAGAGTTGCAAAATCGAGGAGCTGAAGATAGCCTGGGAATCTCGTCGCTGGGTTCCTCTAATGTAATCAGGAGATAGATTACTCGGCTCCGAGGGTAACAATTAGAGCTCGCGGGAATTCTCCAAGTATAACTGGTCCACTGGAATGTCTACAATCCGTGTGATACCATGCCTATCTATTTGATTACGTCATATCCCATTGCCCCAGCTTGTTGAAATAATTTCCTTGCCTTTCTTCATTTTCGATTTACTTTTGCATGCAAAAATCGACGAATTTAAGAAGCTTTCTGAATAGAACTCAAACACGAAACTCTAATTCTGACCTGAATGCAACTTAATTCAGTTAATTTGTTTGATGTGTTTAAATACGTTGCAAATTTCATTTGGAATAAATCGATTTATTGTTCCTGTTTGGAAAACAGCTTTACCTTTGGTTCAAGCCGGGTGAATCATTTTCAAATATTTACTCTATTCCGAGTAAATCATTGAAATAAAATACTCCCTCTGTCCGAAAATGTGGTATACATTTTAATATTTTTTTTTGTCCGAAAATATGATATACATTCGCGAAAAAAATTAAATAAAACTAAAATTAAATGTAAAGGAATATTAAATTTATTTTACTATCGCAATATAACTAAATACGAATAATTTTAGTGTAATCCAAATTTAGTTAAAGTGAGATTTAGCCTTGTTGAATGCTTCTTCATATATGCTTTTCAACAAATCGACTCTCACGACGATTTTTTACCTTATTTATATGAGGTGTTTCATAGGAATCCCCTCCCCCCTCTGTCAACATAAATCATTGAAATAAAATACTCCCTCTGTCCGAAAATATGATATATATTTTAATATTTTTTTTGATCCTAAAATATGGTATAGATTCGCGAAAAAAAATTAAATAAAACTAAAATTAAATATAAAGGAAATATTAAATTTATTTTACTATCGAAATATTAAATTCAGTTTACTATTTTACTATAATATTAAATTTATATTACTTTTTACTATTTATTTTACTATAACTAAATACAAATAATTTTAGTGTAATCCGAATTTAATTAATGTGAGATTTAGCCTTGTTGAACGCTTCTTCTGAACATATATACTTTTCAATTAATCGACCCTCACGACGAAGTTTCACCTTATTTATATGAAGTGTTTCATAGGGATTCCCCCCCCCCTTGTGAACATAATTGATTCCATACACGTTTGTATTGTTATGAAAACTTTATCAAGAGTATTTCTCTCTAATTTATGAAATGCATCTTGAACACATTGACAAATTTATTAATAGCACCGTGTTCTAATTTTTCGTTGCTCTTCGTATTACTGTAACAGCTGTTGCAAGATACCATGACGTTGTTCGTTAGTCAATTGTTTCGATTTGGCATCTCTTCATTGTAAATTCACGTTATTTGGGTTGAAATTTTCCATCTTGAAGTTACAGCGGTGACTTTATTTATTTTATTTTCCTTAAAAAAAGAACTAATTTCTTTCAAATTCCAACTTAACTCAAAAGCAACGCCTGTTATAGGTTATGTTAGCAACGTTATAGGTTATGTTAGGTTATGTAGCTATCAATGTAAACAATACCGATACAATGACTATTACCAGTTGCTTTCGAAACTCTAAGATAATCTAAGAGTTTCTTTCAAATGTGTACCATATTTTCGGACAGAGGAATAACAAATAATCGTAGGATGGTGGAAATTGTTGAATATATGAAACAGAAAATGAAATGAAAAATTCGCTCGTTAAATGATCAAATAAGAGAGAGGTCGAACAAACTAACATGAGATTATCTCGAGACGAAGCAGGATCATTTAAATAATTAACATAATTAATTAAAAGCAAAATAAATTGAATTAAAATTGAAAATAACTTAAATTAAATTTAGGTAATTAATAAATCTTTGTTCTCGTTTCTCCCGATTTCATACAACGTCGAATTTTTAAGGATATTCCCGTCTATTCCTACATGCACATTACGTTCAAGCATCGCGTGTATATACTTTACGAGCATAACCTCGCAAGACAGGCTAGACGCGGATCGACTTTACGACGCGCGATGCTTTTGACGTCATGAATATTCATACACTTTTACTGCGCCGCTATTCACCCGGTCGTTCGCGGCTAGCTGAAATCCCAGATTCCTAACGCTATCCTGGAGATAGAATTTCAGAATTTCTTTTTCTTTTTTTTTCGTCTTCTTCCACCTCTCTCGTTTCATAGGAAAATCTAGCCCGTATTTCGTACACGATGTACAACAGTGGAGAATCTTGAAAAAATACTGCGAATGACAGAATATTAGTCACTTGGATGTGACACCTATATTTTTATTTAACTTTGCCGTCATTCTGAGAAGCTTCGCGAATTTTTTCGATAGAGATCCTAGAACTTCAGTTTTGAATTTTTTTTTTTTCTAGAAACGTGGGAATACTTGAAAATATTAGATATAAATTAAGTAAGATGTCAAAGAAAAACAACATTGGACATAAATTGTAAGAAATTTCACTCTTCAATTTCATCGAGGTGAAATTCATTTTTTGCTAATTATTCCCTCGTATATCTGATCCGATCGATTCTTTACTAAAGCAGAGACTTCAACAAGCATCTCGGAATGTTTTCTTCTTTGTTTCTATAAAAACAGTAAAACAATTGTCGTGGTCATGAACGATCTGTTTTGACTTGAGAAAGCGTGACTGCCTACGAAAAATGAATTATACTATATCTTATACTGTAGCTGGCGTTGGAACATTTTCGAAACACTATCTACACGCTTGCTCTAGCCAATATCAAGGTATAAAATTTCAAATCCGACGTGTCCTCGATACGAGAAGTTGCTCCTAAATTCACATTTTTCCTTTGAACATGCTTCCCATCAAGTGGCGCGTATACGTTTCCATTCCTTTTTAAAAATTCTTTTTCAACATTCCTGATGTCCCTACGTCGTAAATTATTGTGCATGCACGCAGTATAGAGAGGAGGATCGTGAATTAATCAAGTACCAAGCACAGGGATTGCTTTAGTTTGTTTCGCTGATTAACAAGAGTGGTGATAGCCTGGTAATAAACCGAGATTGGAAATCGAAACTCGTTCACTTAACCCAATCTAATTGCAGGGTTAAATGTTTCGGACACTGATCGTTCGTTGGCAAAGGCCAATATGACTGTCGAAATGCTCCAATGATGCAAACTATTACTCGCGTGAACGTTTGTAGGATTATTCCGATGGTAGAATTGAAAATTCTGTTAATTCGAAGAATTTTAATTACGTTTCATTGCCAGATTTGTTGCCACATTCTCACAATTCTCGTAATTTTTGCAAGATGACGTAATTTCTTTTTCTGTAAAATTTAGACAGCACATGTGGTAAAGTTGTTTTTGTACGTTGTTGCAAATTCGAGGAGTTTCAATTGAAACATTTTTGTAATTACCTTTCGATCGTTATTTGGAAACGTCGTCGTTTAACACGTTCCGTGCCATGTGTACCACCGGTGGTACACGTTAAA